TAGGTGGAGTAGTCGAACACAGATCCACTGATCCTTCAACACAGAGCATCTTCAGAAGACAAGTTGATAAAGTGAATTTTTAAAATCTGTATTGTTTGACACAGCACTGTTCAGTGCGATTCGATATGGGTACATGTATTGTTGCACCCCTAATATATAGTATATACTGTATATATACTGAATAAAATATATTATTAAAGAATCAAAACTCCTAATAAATTAGAAATAGAAGAAAATCACAGTTAGCACTCGCCACCTTGCGTGTACAATAGGTTGCCTTCAGGCCCAGGCCTCCCTTGAAAAACAGATCTGAGATCTCAAAGGGACTTGCCTGGTAAAATAATGGTAAATAAAAAAATTAATTAATTAAATAAATAAAGTTCTTAACAGAAGTCTTGCCTGATCTGTTATTGCTCAGAGTATGTGTTGGGGAAGATTCACACCAAGTTACAGACCAATATCTGAAAAAAGACTGAACTACAGACATTTTTGTGTTACTATGTTCAATAACTGTAGCGACCAGCAGAATTGTAAATTATAAAAGTGAATTAGTTGTAGAAGTACATAAAATAATTTCTTTGTAGGAGTTTCAATAGAGTCAATGCAGAGGTTTATGAGATGCCCTTTATGGTGAATGATCACTTAAAAGAGAAAAAAATGCATCAGGAAATGTTAGAATGTAAGAGGATTATCAGGTAAATAGAATTTTAAGTGAAATGTCTGTTGACTCAAATCATTTCTGAGAATCCTGAATGCTGTTTTTGATAAATGCACCCACCATGACCATGTTAAATGTCTTAAAATGAGGATTACCAACAATAATGACACCGATGGAAGAAAGATGACAAAAAGATCACTTAATGCAAGAAACACAGGGGGGAGCTCATGAGTCAAAGAAGAAAGAAATGTTTTATCAGTACAAACAAGAATACATGATGCTCTGTAAACTTTGGTGCTGAAAGCAATTCATGATTCTTCTTCATCTGTTTATTAAACTGCTCAGTGTTGAGTGTCGGATTATCATATTCTTATTACCTCTGAGTGTATAGCTGGAATTCAACAGTTGAATAATTTAGGGCAAAGACAATTTTTTAAGTGTGCTCATCTGTAATAAAACTCTAAGTATGTTTGTTGATTTTTCTTTTTATTGTATTTTCAGGTTTAATACCAGCCTTGTCAGAAGCAGTGGTCTTAATGGGAACCAAGGTCTGTTCCTAATATAGTGGAGTGTATTTTTTGTTGGGGTTAGGTTTAAGGCTAAGGTGTGAATTGAGTTTGGTGTTGGWTAGTGTTAAGCCTTTGTAATAGTTAAGATTAGGGTTCGAGTCAGTGCAAAACCACAAAAATGAAACCCAGACTTGTGTTTGTGTGTGGTCCTACCTGATGAGTGCGTTGGCATGGTTCTGCATCCGTGCAGCCTGGTTCATGGCTTTCAGCCAGGTGGTCATGTCCTCCTGGGTGTCGGCACTGAAGTAATACGTTCGCATGCCAGTGTGCTCTGCCTGCGAGCCAATCACAGAGCTCTGCTTGTAAATGTAAGAGCGCATACCAGTGTGGCTAGCCTATTGGAAGAGAGGAGAGACTGGTTCAAACCATGGTCAGAGATCCAGAAATCTTCTCTCAGACAGTGTAAAAGTGAAAGGGTGACACCATGCTGTCCAATCACAGAAGCAACTCCAGCAGCAGCACAAGCACCAACCAAGGCAGAGCGCGCCAATGAAGGACATTACACAACAAATAAAATGCAGACATTAACACCAGCTACAAACAGGGAGTTCAACACAGGACACAACTTCAAACAAATGAGAAAATATAGTTTTATATGAGAAAAGAAAAATATAGAACCTCTAACTCAAATGTCCTCACCTAAATTCACTATGTAAAAGCAAGTCACAGATTACAAACTTCCCTAAAAAGAAAGGTTTTTATTAGGGTGCTAAATGTTAGCACATACATATCTTTTGAAGAAAGACCATTACATGAATTGTGGTTGTCGTTCATAGAGGAAGTGAGATCAAAAGGTAATTTTGCTGTACTTACACCTGATATGAAACAAGTGACCGGCTTATAGCAAGCTTACTCTAAAGTAAAGATGACCATTTCTTCATATGCATTCTGAATGGAGTGGTTAGGGGAATAATGAGAGAGTTGGTGGTTCTATTCCACCATGATTCCGTCATACGTTCAAGATTTCCTGGGTAATACATTGGACCCACTGCCTCAGATGTGTGTACCATCAATTTATAAATGTGATCTAAAGCACTAGTTAGTCATTAGAGAATGATTTATTCAGACTAGCTTCATAGAGAGAGAGAGTCAAGTGCTGAATGTGTGTGTAGATGGTGTGTGTGTGTGTGTGTGTGTGTGTGTGTGTGTGTGTGT